CCAAACTGATAGGGATGGCAGCATCACCACACCCCCGAACGGTTTCCCCGGTTGCCACAGCATGTATTTTTGACATGTTTAATGTTCTGCGCATGTGCAGACCTATTTACCGGCAACTACGCACACATGCAAATCATGCGTGCACCAAACGGCAGTAATGCCAGCAGAAGCCCACTCCTGATTTATAGGGATTTAGGAAAACACAACTGATGTACGTAGTAGAGACCAAATGTATTGAGGAAAAAAAATGTGTTTCATTAACTGTGAGAAGCTTCCATTATTTTTAGCATTTCAAAGCACTGTTTTTTCTTCTGTCAGACAAAGCTGTATAATAGCCCAAATTCTGGGCTATTTGCATTGGGCCTCTACACTTCTTCTTCAGTTTATCATTTATACTTTCCACAACAAAGGGAAAATTTGACATTGCTGACTGCAGCATTTTTCTTAGAGTTCCCTTAATTTATAGACTGCCTTTTTGAGGAACCTGCTTGAGCAAACTAAATTATTTTGGATAGTGGAAGTCTTATTTATTCAAACAGAATTTGTAGAAATGTGGCTCTAAAATGATGAAATTGTGTCCTTTGATCATGATGCTTAAGATTTTTAATAATTGGCTACATAATTGCATTATTACTGAACATATAGAGGACCAGCTATTATAGCTTATTGTTTCCAGAAAGAAATGTGATTGAGAATGATATCCTAAATTATGGTGGACTAAACTGTGTGAAAGAGAATCTTAATGTACTGAGCATGTGGATAATCCTTTTTTTTAATAAAAAAAATAGTATAGTCTATAGCATAGGTCAGTGATGGCTAACCTTTTTGTCCCCACACCCCATAATGCAATGCCCTTCCCCCGTGTATGTGTGCACAACCTTTCCGGACTTCCAGGGGGCCTTTTATTGCCCTCCACAGTTTCAGGAAAGCCTCCTGAAGCTTCCGGAGGGAGAAAAACAGCCCAACAAGTCATTTCCCAAACTTCCGTTGGGCCCCTTTGGGCTGTTTTTCGCTCTGCCCAGGCTTCAGGGAAGCCTCCTAAAGCCTCTGGAGGGTGAAAAATGCCCCCAAAATAAAGGATGAAAATCAGCTTGCCAGTGCACCCATGCGTGCTGGATCTGACAGGGCAACACCTCGCATGCCCTCAGTAATGGCTCCGCGTGCCACCTGTGACATGTGTGCCATAGATTCACCATCACGGGCATAGGTTTTTCCTGAAGTGAGCTCAACATTCACTGTGATGTACAATAGTTAAATGCTGGTCTAGAAACTGGGAAACTATAAGTTCTAGCCCTCCCGTACATTTGAAAATCAGTGGATTGAATTTGGTTTAGTTGCTGTGTCTTAGACCAACCTACCTTATTGTGGGGAAAATAAGAGGTGAGAACATTGATCTTATATACTACCTTGAATTCTTAAAAAATAAAAGGGGATAAAATTAAATGAAATAGAAAAAATAGTATATAAGTGCTGTATTTGAAATGAGGTAGAGTATGATTAACACAACTACTAGTAGTCTTAATTTACTACTATTTTAATAGTTCAAAGTTATGACAGTCTTGGAAAAAATGATGTCCTCAAACTTACATGCATCATACAACTGGAAATTCAGTCCCAGTTGCCATCATAAATGAAAGACTACCTATATTTTCCAAAGCTATTCAAGCCTATACAATTTTAAGGGTAAACGCTCAACATGATTCTTCCCGAGTTGCTGGGAATCTTTTAAAGTATCTGTCACTTTATATCCATTGCATTGCATTCGGGCGGGTGTGTGGGGGGGACAGATTACACTTCAAGTAATCTTATTTCATCCAGGTAAAATTTAAAGGTTTGGAGGATTGATATTGCTGTGTATTTCATTGGAAAGATAAAAAAGCTTTGATTCCAGCATTCAGGATTTTTCCCCAGTGCAGTGTAAGGAAGTGGCAAGCTATTAAACAGCAGGAGCATCAGGTTTCTGAGCTGCCAATGTCAGCTTTCTAGAAATAGTATTTGTCTCTCTTGAAGTTTTTTCTGCACTAGCACAGGGTTTTTGCATTTCAGAAGAAGCAAACTTGTAACAATGTTTAATCAGATGAGATATCTGGAGCACACTATTGGAAGTAATCAACAGTGACCAAGTGAATCCAACCAAGCATGCATACAAACCCATATTACAAATCGTGGAGTAAGAGCAGTGAAACAAATTTACTTTTCTGCTCTTACCACATCTCCTGGTAACCAATCAATGGATCTTTTTCAATTGCCCTTCCCTTGCCAGGGATGGATAGATATCACAACCTGTTGGACTTTTGTATTGTTCAGCATTGGAGAATAAACTTATTTATTTACACCCATTGATCACTGAGGGCCAATATTTATTGCACTACTTTTATATATACGTGTGTGTTAAAATGTATGTTCAATACATTTTGTTTGTTTTTTCCTTATAATTTTGTGGATTTTTTTTTCTAGTAAAGGAACTCATCAATTAAGCTTTATCAGTATGTGGCTGATAGTCAGTTGCATCTTTTCATCCTTAGCCAGATAATTCTTGAATTGGCACCTCCTGCTTAAGGGGCAGGTGGCAGTTGTTATGCTTCTTCCTGGACTAAGAGAACTAAGAAGCCTTCCTTATAGTCATTCGTGCCTCAATCACCTTGCAAGTGGTCTTTTGAATGAGATTTTCCTGATTTGAAATTATTAAAATCTTATGAGGTAGTAAATGCAGGTTAGAACAAAATTGAGGAATGAAAGTAACCTTAACCCTAACCCTATCTATTAAGCCTTTAATAGAATGTAAAGATCTTAGCTTTTATTAGAAACTAAAAGATGATTCCATGCATCTTGGAAAAGGGAACTGCCATGATTTTAGAGATACTTTAAGAGGGGGGGAAAAGGTGTTTTGCGTCCAAGAGCTGCTCTCTGGAAAATAGTGGGATGCTTGCAGAACTGTCTTTATAGTCTACAGAGGAAGGAGCTCATTTTGGAAGGATGCAGACTTCTGCTATCCTGGCATCAGTTCATTTCGTGCTTTGAAGATAAAAGCCAGCCCTTTGAACTATATCGAGAAATGAACTGGAAGTGAATCAAATCCAAAACCAAATAAAATAAAGTGGGCCACATGGATTTCTGATGTGTTTTTTTAATTCCCCCCTCCTTTGGCGTCCAATTAATAATAACCCATATGTTAGTGGTTATTTCTGTATTATCTAGGAAGGGCCGCAGCATTTACTGGAATGTCCTGATGTCTTTATAAACATCTCCCCCCCCAAAATTTTTGGCAGTAGTGTTGTAAAAAAGTGATTTACTATTGTTTACTTCTGAACTGTTTCCCCCCTCTTTCTCAGTCTAGCCTACAATCCTCAACTAATCGGCCAAAAGCCACAGGTTCTCTCCAAAATTCACATATTGTTCTCTATTGAGTTTGATATCCCAGTTTTGGAACTGCCATCTAAGCACAAATGGAGATGTGTAAAAATGTGCTCAAGGACATATCTCATCAATCTATGCTTAGGGGTACATGTCTGCCTGTTCTTTGAATATGAGAACATAACAATTTGAATTCTATGCATCACACAGCATTTACTTTAGAAACTCCTAATGTGCTATATTAAGTCATTTCTGATCCATCAGTGTAGAAATTGCCAGTAATGATGGCTGTAAATATCCTAGTGCCCAATTATCTCCAGATTTTTTTAAAAAGTAAAAATTAGGTTGGGCAGCAGCCAGTGCAGTCATGCAAACTTTTTTCAAAGTTGCAACTCCAGTGCATTCAGTGTGGCTAATCAAAATATTAAAAGTCAGTGAACTTTAATAGTTTCATATTCATTTGTTTTTCATTAGATAATTGCATGTCAGTAATATAATTTAAGATGTTTTTCTGTCTGCAAAGTATTACAAATAGTGATTAAGATCTACCCACAGATATAATAAATGTTGAATTTTCTGTCAAACACTGACCTATTTTTTATTTTCATTGAGCAGTAATCTCTCAAACTTGCATTACCTCAAGTTCATTTTCAAAGCTAGTTAATGAAAACACTCCTGAAAGCAAATAAGCACGTAGACTAACTCCTTTGTATATAAATGTAGATAAATAATTTTGGAATCTTCTGTGTTGGCAATATTTTCTTTAATATACTTTCTTTAAAAGATTCCAAATATCGAGCCCTCTGGTGGTTTGTAAGTATGCATCTGCCTGTCAGGGTTTTTTATTCCCAGTATTGGGCTTATTAAGAGAGTAGCTATGATGGCAGAATGACTGTCTCTGCTGGGAAATTAGTGGATCCCTTCTGTAGTTGGTTAGACTAGAAGGACCAAATGTTTGTCTCAGCAGGAACACTTATGAATATGTTAGGCTCTCATAATAATTGAACCATAACAATGCCCAGCAAAAAAAAGTATAAATTGAGCAACTTAAACTTTATCCAAAAAGGATAATTCAAAAAAGTTCCGTATTAAAAATGAATTCCCACAAAGGAGGAAGATGAGGCAGAACAATGTCTATAAGCATATCTCCAGCTTCCTTATATTGTCAACCAAGATTGCTGACTCCCACTAAAACCAGTTCTTGCTATTTTCCCACTTCCAAAAATACACAAATGCAAAATTGGAAGCCAGAGACCACATTCTGAAAAAGGACCAGACAAAAAGTTTGACATTAATTTTAATAATGACTCTTGATTAAAATGAGTTTTAAAAAATTGCCTGTAAAATATTTTTGCTTTTCTAAACTAGTTGACTTCCTGCACAGAGAGACACAAAATGTGGACGAAAATTGTTCTTTCACATACACAAAAGTGCACAGAGACACATTTACAGGAATGCTTGTCCGCAATCACCTGCATGGCTCTGTAAACAGCTGTAACTGAAGAAAAAGAAGCTATATCTAAAGATGGGAATAAGTGTGCACACCTTATTGTGAAAGCAGGGATTGATCCTCATTGTCTTCTGAATGCATTGACTTGTATCTCCATATTTACCTGTTGTTGGTCTTCCTTTTTTCCTCTTGTTAGGTTCCTACATGATAGTGGATTCTTCACACCACAGCCACGGAGAAAAGGCTCGGCTTCAGCTTCCTACCATGAAAGAGAACGATACCCACTGTATCGATTTCAGCTACCTTTTGTACAGTAAGAAAGGGACAAGCCCTGGGACTCTGAACATCTTGGTTAGGGTGAACAAAGGCCCTCTGGCAAACCCCATTTGGAACGTGACCGGCTCCACTGGCAAAGACTGGTTACGGGCGGAGCTGGCTGTCAGCACCTTTTGGCCAAATGAATACCAGGTAATGAAAAGTGATGAAAAGTGTTTGTATCCACGACCAGCATGCAAATTTGTCCACCTCTTGGCCATGCATCCTTAAGACATCATTAGAAAAGGAAGATCATACTGCAGCACAAAAATAGTGAGAGGCTGTCAATGAATATTCCAGGTGTGTTATACCTGTCAATTCCTCTGAATCTCTGGAAATGGGACCAGAAGGTATTTCCAAAGGTTTGGGATGTGGCATTGATAGAAATATTCACTCATTCCCAGCAGCTGCTAAGAATAGCTATCAGTGTCTTTTATAGGTGGAGATAGATTGGATATTTGTTTATGCACAACAACAAAACAAATACTAAGGGAAAATAAAATCTTTCCCATTTCTCTCCATCAAAAGAAATGTAGGTCAGATGCATTTGTTTACACCAGCTTTTCATTACTGTAAGATGAACCGGCTCTAAGTGCTGCCTAATGGAGTGCCATTGGAAAGCCATATAATCTTGTACAGTTTCACAGAGAGAGAAAAGCTCCATCACCCTAAACTGTTTTCTTGCTTTGTGAACAGTGTTTGTCTGTGTTTGTGTGTGTGTGTTTTTTTTTGGCTGTTCTTTTGTAAGCACTTCCTTTCAAGACATGAGGTCAACACAGCTGCTTAAAAACACCACTTCTCTTCCCCCTGTGCAAAGCTGGTTTTAATGCTGTGTTTCACTACAGAATGTAGCGTGAATGTCTCCTTTGTTCAGCTGCAATTCTCTCTGACAATTCTTCAGTTGACTAACTCTGCTGGTTGCATGTTAGCCTATTGGGAGTTTAGCAAACACTCACATAATGTCACATGTGTTTAAGAAGAGGATTGACAGCTATGAATTTGCTTTTAAGGGCTTCACTTGAGAAGTAAAACAAAGGCATATTTACGCCCAGCATAAATTTGATATTACAGGGAAGTAGAGTCTACCATAAATAAAGCAGACAAGCAGGCTTTCTAAGTATACATTTTTATGTTTATATATATACACCATGTTTTCCCAAAAATAAGACACAGTTTTATTTTCTTTTGGCCCCCGAAATAAGCACTTGGCCTTATTTTCAGGGAGTTCTAATTATTTTTGAGGTGCAGGAAGTGGCGAGCGTGGTCACCTCATGGCTGCTGCTGTGTTGCAATATTTTTGGGGAGGCCTTATTAGGAGGGCTTATTTTAGTGCATGCACTCAAAAGCCTGATTGGGCTTATTATCCGGGGATGTCTTATTTTCAGGGAAACAGGGTATTTTTCATTTTAAACAATTTGCAAAAATAAGTAGTAAGTCAGAACAACATCTTTGCTGATCAGCTACTTTAGTGCAACTTCATATATGTAGGAAGTGAGAAAGCGAATATCACCCAGGGTTCACTGTCATTTCTTTTCCCCGTTCTTACTATCAAATTATTAATTTGAATAGTGAAATGTTAACTTAACCATGGATGGTTGTCTGCCAGAAATAAAAAAACGCTCCCCCCTCCCTGAAAAACAAAAGCCATCAACTTGACACATGTGTAAATTTCTTGTTATCATCTGTCAGAGCTTGCTTTTATCAGCTTCACTGAATAGAGATGGATCCTGGTGGGAAATAATGAAATAAGTTCAAGGAATTTAGGGTCCTACATGAATGTAATGGAGTTTGGAATTGCAAAATGTCTTGGCAAATTCTTCAGTTGTGAAATGGCAGCCGGTGTTTTATAGAGGAAAGAAAAAAATAATCTTTGTTGTTAACACAATGTATTCTGGGTGGTCTGATAAAATTAAGTATTTTGTTCAATAGAGAAAATGTTTTATGTCATGAGAGTCATAGAGGCTTCTTTCTGATGCAGAGCCAATCTGTTTATTAATACTTGGTACCATGCTATGATGGTTTCTAGTAGTGGTGTCATGGACTACAGGTTGAATGATTCTTGCATGGCAATTCAATGTATAGGGACTCAGTTGGCATAATTTTCTTTCCCTGTTCATTTGGTTGAGATGAAAAAATGGACTCATGCTGTCCTTCCCTTACATTGTTTTATTGCTGACAATGACTTAACTGTGCCAATGTCTTTTATTCTCTCTTGAAGTCAGAATGAGTTCAGGGCTCTCTTGAACTCAGATGTCTTTGCATCACTTAAATTTGACACTGTAAACTCTGAAGAACTAAGTATGAGATTTTTTTAATTGTGTGTGTGAAGCACACTTCTGACTTCTCTAATGTTGGGATACATGTTATCAAAGGGATTCAGAATATGTTGTAATCAGGATGGAGTGAGTGGTTAGTGTTTAAAATAATCAAAAATGCTTTATTAGTGTTGTTCTTAGTGTTTGTCCTGCTTAGTTGCTGGGCCTACTTTTTTGCATTGCACGTCTGATTCTTACAGCAAAACTTAACAATACATGTTGCAACATGGAGTTTTATTTCTTAGCCATCTAGTTATAGAACTAGACAATAATCAACGGTGAGAAAGAATTAATGGCTGAAGATCACCCAACTGGTTTACTCTGCCAAGGAAACCCTGAGTTTTCCACTCCTTGACCAGTATCTTAACCATGGCACTATGCTGGCTCTCTAGAGCAATGCTTTAATATAATAGATGAATGCTATATGGGTATTTAGTGTTGTAACCTGTGCCATGAGGTTAGCAGAGGAGATTTGGAGATCAGTATAGTTTTATAGCAATAGCAGTACACTTATATACTGCTCCATATTGCTTTACAGCACTTTCTGAATGGTTTACAACATTAGCATATTGCTCCCAACAATCTGGGTCCTCATTTTATCAAACTCAGAAGGATGGAAGGCTCAGTCAACCTTGAGCGGGTCAGGATCAAACTCTTGGCAGTGGACAGAGGTAGCCTGCAATACTGCATTCTAACCATTGCATCAACACAACTCTTTATTTCTGCAATCTTCTTTTTTATTGATATACAACTTGGCATTATTGGTTATTTTGTAATATAATTTTATGTATTTAGTTATTGTAATATGTCTTAATTTTAATTATATATCACTCTAATATGTTAGGAAACAGGGCAATATATGATAAATAAGTAAATAAATATACATTGGAAAGTTATCTTATTTTTTGTAACAAAACAGCTACAAATAGAACTCCTCTTATGATAGCAAGTTGTAACTACTGTTGCCTTTGATTAGAAGCATTCTTTTGAAACAGCTTTTATCATATGACATGGCAGCCACTTCACTGGAAAAATAGGCATCTGGTGTATTTCCATTTGAGAGGAGTTCCAGAAGATTTGCTCTGTATTGTACCAAGTGCCTTGTTGAAACAAAGCTCCTATGCATTAAAAAGTGCAGTACATTGTCTCTGCAGCCTATAGCATCTTGTCAAAGCAAATGATGCCCTTCTTGCTCTTCTAATAACTCTACCCTGGTAATAAATGATACTGAAGAATTCCTGTCCAGTTTAGTGACCAGTTTAGGAAATTTTGAGCTGAGCTTGTTGATCAGAAAGGTCGACAGATTGGCAGTTTCAATCCCTAGCAGCACGTAATGGTTACTTGTCCCGTTACAAGTGAGCTCCCGTTCCTTGTCCCAGCTTCTGCCAACCTAGCAGTTAGAAAGCATGTAAAAATGCAAGTAGAAAAATATGGACCAATTTTAGTGGGAAGGTAACAGCGCTCCATGCGCCTTCGGCGTTTAGTCATGCCAGCCACATGACCATGGAGACATCTCCAGACATGCTGGCTTTTTGCCTTAGAAACTGACATGAGCACTGCCCCCTAGAGTCGGGAATGGCTAACACATATGTGCAAGGGAAACCTTTACCTTAGGAAATTTTACACATGGTATCCCTAGATAGACAATATTGCAACAAATTGGATTGATAAGTAGGAAATAAAAGATGAAGGACAATCTAGTTAGCCACTTTTCAGATGTAGATAATGGACAGGAATATGAATTAGTAATATCAAGTATACACATTAAAATGAGAAAATTGAAGAGGATATATGTATCAGCAAGATTTGAACTGGAGAACATATGATCACAATATAATGCAAGGAATTAATTCAACTCACTTAAGTGATGCAAAAAAGACTATCTGGGGAGCTGAAATTGAAAACATCATGAAGGCTAAACAGAAAAGATATCTCTCCTAAATTTCAAAACAGGAAAGCGTAAAATGTTTTCAGAGCAAGCTATTTTGAAAGCCAGGGAAAGATGAAATCTTTGGGCAATAAGGACATATGACAATTGATCATGTGTGTGCAAAGCAAAGGAAAAACTTTTACTCACTTCCAAGTTATCAGTACAAATGAAAAATGAAAAAAAAACCTGACAGGTTTAGCATTCTGATCTACTAAGTAGCCAAATGAATAGAGATAAGAGTATTGAAATGGGAGAATGTGGCTGACTGAGGATAAAATTATAGTTGTTGGTGATAAATACTTTGAGTGAGAAAAGCCCACACTCCTTCCAAATATTTATATATACATACATGCATATATGCCTCATGCTGTTCCTTGCACTCTGAAACAAAAGCTGCCAAACAATTCACAGTTATTTAGCTATAACTTTTCTGTAAATAAGGACTTTCTTCCTATGAGACACCCAAACTACTTGAGATCAGTTCATACTTGTGGTGGCAGAGAAAAGCTTTTTTTAAGCTTCTTCAAATATAACTGCAAGTACCATCAGGCAATACATAACTGCAGCCTGCTGTCTGGCTTGACATAGTCTTCCTGGAAATAAGCATTACTTGGGAACACAGAAATAGACTCAAAGTATGTGTTTATGTAATTATCTGGGCTCCTAAGAATTCCAAAATCTCCATTATCCCTACTTGGATTTATAGTTTTTCTTCTTTGGAAAAGCTGATAATGCCAGGTGATAAATAGTATTCTCCAAAGCAGTTTGTGATAATGACTTTTTGTTTGGAGAGTGGTTGTGGGAGGCTTATCTTTCCATGAATCATAGCAGTTCTTTTAGCTCTGAATTAGCTTTGTGACCCTTTAGAAAATACAGACAGACTGTATTAAACAACACATAGAATGTCTGGAGTGTTGCTCCACTTTTGAATTTTGTTTAAACTAAAGGTGTACAGTGCTGCACAAGGAGACTGCAGGAAGGGATTATGTTTTCCTTACTGCACATGAAGAACTTCCAGACCAGTTCAGGGAATATCAGTATGTTAAATAAAATCAGGATCAGCATGGTAATATAGGAGACAACCCATGCCCGATTAGGTCATCATTTCAGAGATATTTTCTTATCTAAATCGAGAAACAGAATAATTCCAAAAGCAGTGGGAGCAGGAGCAACTTCCCCATTGAGTTTCCTTGCAGGACTCTGACAGGGAGCATTGGAAATCTCCGTTCCTTTCCCTAATCCTTCCAGCAGGTAGGCGGCTGCTGCTAAGTAAGAGAAGGAGCAAGGGATTGTGAGATTGGCTGGAAAACACTCA